CCAGACCCACAGCAATCTCCTGAGTCCTGGGGTTGCATATGTGAGCCTCCATGCCCGACTACAGTGAATTATTTTTAGCCACTAAAAAGGTATCTAGTGGGACTGGAGAGATGGCTCAGTGGTTAGGAGCACTTGCTGCTTTACAGAGGGGCTGGATTCAGTCCCAGCACCCACCCAGCGGTTTACAACCATCTATACCCCCAGTTCCAGGGGATCCAAAGCCCTTTTCTGGTTCCATGGACACTGCATGCACGTGGTATGCAAAGACTCATGCAGACACAAATAAATAGAGATAAATACATCAATCTCCATCCCCCAAAGCCTACCTTTCGAAGGGTTTGTTGGTGATGCCTCAGGAGGCTGAGGCAGAAGGTCTGAGTTTGAGGTCAGCCTGGGCTACAATAGTATAAGGTCCAGGAACGACCATGTCTCAAGAAGGCAAAAGAAGGGCTAGGGCACTGGCTGCTCCTGCAGAGGACTGGGGTTTGATTCCCAGCCCCCACATAGAGGTTCACACTATGACTCCAGGTTCAGGGGAATCCCATCCCCTCTTCTGGCCTCTGAAGGTACCAAGCATGCAAATGCTGCACAGGCAAACACCCATACACATAAATAAATAAAGTGATGGTTTGGGTGAGAACGGCCCCCAGAGGCTCATATATTTGAGTGTTGGTCCCCAGCTGATGGAACTGTTTCTGGAGGATTAGCAAGTGTGGCCAGTTGGAGGAGCTACACCACTTCAGGCGGGCTTGAGGTTTCAAAAGCCCACACCACACCCAATTAGCTCTCTTTCTGCCTCCTGCTTGTGACCAAGATGTGAGCTCTCAGCGCCCTGCCCGCCTGCCTGCCGCCGTGCTCCCCATCACGACGGTCACGGACACTAACCCTCTGGGTTTGTAAGCCCCCAACAAGATCTTTCTTTTATGAGGTCCTGGGTCATGGTGCTTCGACCCTGCCTCCCTCCCTCCCCACCAAGTCAACACTCCTCTCAAGACTCTGGACAGAGCTGGCACTGTTGTAACCTTGTCCCCAGTCAGTCCACTAATTCTTTTATTGACCAGATTGGCTGGTGCAGGTGATAGGAAGATTTTTAGGTCAAAGTCTGTCCATATCCTCCCAGCCGGCTGGAGATCAAAGCCAGGGCCTCACACTTCCTCCACAGATGCATCAAATTCATAAGTGACTTGGCTTTCAACAGACAGATTGGATCCCAAACGATGTCACCCCTTTCTAGTGCTTCCCTGAGGTCCAGACCCACGCCTATGTAGTTGCTGGGGACAGCTGCTGCCCCAGGATAGTGTCCGTTCCAGCTGCAGGCCTGGTGGGATGTGGGCAGGGACGTCCAGGGGGGACCTTCATCCCACATGACCTGAAAAGGGAAGGAGCCGTAGCCAGCTGCTGACCTCATACAGGCCTGAAAGACTTGTGTGGGGCTCCAGGGGTGTGTGGCAGGAGGCCTTTGGGGTCTTCTGGTAAATACTGCAAGACTCCAAGAATATTGGAAAGCAAGGTGACCTAGGTTATGAGGGCCGGGGACCCAGAACTGAGGGCATGCACAACCGAGGCCTGGTGGGAGCCTCCACTGAAGGAGGTGTAAAACACATGGTCAAGCTAAGTGTGGTGTTCATCCTGGGCTACTCCAGGAAGTCCTGGGGACCTGACCTCCCATCCAGGTCACTGCACGGGGGCCTGGTTTATTATTATCCATGACGTCAGTTTGCTATACAGGTCACAAGTAATTAGAATATTATCAGTGTCACAGTGCCAAGGCCACAGTCAGAGGAGGTACGGTGGGGGTGAGGGCGCTTGTCAGGCTCCATTCAATCAGGACACTCTAGGTTGGGTAGCCAGGCTGTCAGTAGAGCCCGAAAAGTCACTTGATCTGGGCAGAATGAGGAGTGACCCTGAGCATGTGTCTTTCTTCCCCACCACCCCTGTTGAAACACCCATGGCATGGGAGTTACTGGGAGCCTGGGTCTCCATGGCCCTGGAGAGGGACCTCAGGTTAGATGTTGCCCCTCCAATGCCAGGCTGGCAAGCAACCCTTGAGCCACACCAGGAAGCAACAAGAAAGCAAAGGACAGGGTGACCCTGACAGGTTCCCTCTCAGTGAGTCATTCTCATGTCAGGTCCTAAAAACAAGTGTCCTGGGTGGGGTCCTGGGTGGTGGCATGTTGGTCTTAAGGTGCCTGCTCCTTCCCTGGGGAGGTGCTAAGCAGCCTGGCTGGGTACAGGGACACCGGTCCCTGAAGAGCCCCTTCCATGGAGGCCCTGGAGACTGGGAGGTGATCAGGGACTTCCCTCTGAGGTAAACAGTCTGTTGTGTAAGTTGTTTTCATCTGGGAACCTGTGATGGGTTTGGAGGCTGGAAAGGATACAGTGAGGTCACGACCGAGGATGCTTGGCACGGGCAGCTGGACGTGAGTCCCAGCGGGGGAAGAACCAAGGCCTTGGGCCAGGAGACCTGAGTGACCTGGGTCAAGTGCTTCTGGGCCCTCAGTCTTGGATCTTCTCTGTGCTGTGTACCAAGACGGATGGGGAAGGAAGGGCCACGGCCTCTAAGCTGACTTGTAAGACTTTATTCCACTCTGATGGGCAGGGCTAGACTGTTGCGAGATATTTGATTACCCTGTGCAACGATATGTCACTGTGATTGGTTTAATTAATAAAAAGCTAAAGGCCAATAGCTAGGTAGGAGATACAGGTGGGACTTCCAGACAAGAGAGCTCTGGGAGAAGAACGGGGAGAGACACCAGAGGACACAGAGAGGAAGCAGGCTGTGCAGAGGTAAAAAGCCACAAGGCAGAACTCAGATTAGTATAAATGGGTTAATGTAAGTTATAAGACCTAGTGGGATAAGCCTAAGCTACATGCGGAGCTTTCATAATCAATAATAAGTCTCTGTGTAGCTTTTAGTGAGCTGCGGCACAAAGACTGGGGCTGAGCAGGCACGCAATCAGGTAAATATGAGAGTTTTAACAATTATGATTGTTGTTGAGAAGGGGTCTCACTATATCATCCTGGCTGGCCTTACAGTCACTGTTCCTCCCGCCGGGCGTTGGTGGCGCACGCCTTTAATCCCAGCACTCGGGAGGCAGAGGCAGGCGGATCTCTGGAAGTTCAAGGCCAGCATGGCCTCCAGAGCGAGTGCCAGGATAGGCTCCAAAGCCACACAGAGAAACCCTGTCTCGAAAAACCAAAAAAAAAAAAAAAAAAAAAAAAGTCACTGTTCCCTGAGTCCTGGGATTAAAGGCGAGTGCCACTTCATCCAGCAACAGGAAGATTTTAAACTGAATTCTAACAACTGTCCATTCCTCCCTGTAGTTAGACGCTTGACTGGGGGGCTGGAGAGATGGCTCAGAGGTTAAGAGCACTGGCTGTCCTTCCAGAGGTCCTGAGTTCAATTCTCAGCAACCACATGGTGGCTCACAGCCATCTGTAATGAGATCTGGTGCCCTCTTCTGACCTGCAGGGATATATGCAGACAGAACACTGTATGCATAATTAATAAATAAACCTTAAAAAACAACAACTGTCGCCGGAAGGTGGTGGTGCGCGCCTTTAATCCCAGCACACGGGAGGCAGAGGCAGGTGGATCTCTGTGAGTTCCAGACCAGCCTGTTCTACAAGAGCGAGTTCCACGACAGTCTCCAAAGCCACCAAACCAAACCAAACCAAACCAAAAACTTCCCTGCTTCTCTCTTTCTTCCTCACTCTCTGTCCTGTTCAGTTCTTCTATTTCTCACTCGCTAGCTTTCCCGGGCCTATAAAAAACTGGTTAATAATCTCATGGCTCATCTTGCACCCCTTCTTATTTCTAATTTAAGCAAAAACCTAGCATGTGTCCCTGCAGGCTACAAGAGGGCACCAGATCTCATTACAGATGGTTGTGAGCTGGGAATTGAACTCAGGACCTCTGGAAGAGCAGCCAGTGCTCTTAACCTCTGAGCCATCTCTCCAGCCCCATCCAACGCCTGGCTTTAATCTTTATTTTATGTGTATGTCTTAGGGTTTTATTGCTATGAAAAGACACCATGTTGGTGACAACTCTTATAAAGGAAAACGTTCCACGCATGCCCAGAGTCCTCAGGGAGGCTTTAATGCATGACGGGTAGCACGTCCCTGTGCGTGTCCGCCTGTCATTAGGGGCCAGGGTCAGCCAGGTGTGTGTCCTAACAATCCAGACTCTTGTTTATCATAAAAAGGCAGACCACGTAGCCACAGAGAAACCCTGTCTCGGAAAACGAAAACAAAAAAAAAAGAAGGCAGAACACCATATACATAATAAATAAAATCTTAAAAAAAAAATTGTCGTTACACACATAAAAAAAAAAAAAAAGCCAGGTGTTGGTGGCGTATGCCTTTAACCCCATCACTCGGGAGACAGAGATCTGTGAGTTTGAGTCCAGTCTGGTCTACAGAGTGAGTGCTAGGATAGGCTCCAAAGCTACACAGAGAAACCCTGTCTCGAAAAACAAAAGCAACAAAAAGATTACAAATAATTATTCTAAAAAGGGGGCCAGCAAGATGGCTTAGTGGGAAAGGGCATTTGCCACCAAGCCTGACTACTTAAGTTCATCCCTAGGACCCACACGGTGGGAGGAAAGAGCTGACTCCAGCAAGTTGTCCTGTGTGTGACACATACCCTGACCACACCTCACACTGTAGAACTCGATGGCCTCCTTGCTCCATCGGAAATGAAGAAGAGAGAGTCCTGGTCTCTTGGGACATGGCCAACTGATTTAAGTCCCACTCATGGCCCAGGCCTCCTCCTTCTTCAGGAATCCCATGTTACCTACCACTCCTCAGAACACGTGGACTGTTGGCAAGAACAATGCTACCCATGTACTGAAGTGACCCAAGGAGAGCAGCGAGGACCAGAGCAGATCCCAGGCCAGTACCGGGAGATTCCTTTGGCCTCCACGCTGCCATCCCTGGCTATGGCAGTAGAGGTGTCCCTTAGTCCTCAGAATAGCACGAAGAACTCAGAAGGCTTCAAGTCAACTCTTAAATACTTAATTACCATTTATTAAAGTTCTGTCAGTCTGTATACACTATTTATATTAAAAACACAGGAAGCTGCGCTCCTAGCAAAAATATACATTTCAGTTTTGGAGACTTCAGACCCTGAGAGGAGCTGCACCCTCAGCACCAGACCTGGGCAGGGACAGGGATAGGGACAGGGACCGGGTGGGTCAGGGATTGCAGCTCCACCAAGACCTGATCAGTGGAGGCGGGGCGGGGGCAGGGAGGGATAATCTGGCTGTCCCCTCTCCAAGTCACTTCCCTCCAGAGCTGTGGTCAAACAGTTAAGGCCCTGGGGACAAAACCCAGATGGGATCCAAGACATCAGGGCTTGAAGCCCAGGCTTCCAGTGCTTTTCTGAGAGCCTGGCTGGTGGCTCCCTGTGGGCCTGGGCAGGATGAGCCTGGGCTCTGCTGGGCTGGGCTTAGCTCTTGGTCTCAGGAGAGCCTGGAGGGGTCTGAGCAGGGGATGGGAGCACCCAGCAAGCTCCAGGCCACTTGTAGCTGCAGCTGGAAGCTGGTGACCAGCCAGGCGAAAAAGAGAAGGTCATGGAGCTGCTGAGGTGTGTGAATGTGAGGGGGACTGGTCAGAGAAGCCCTGGCAACTCTGCCTACTCACAGATCACTAACCCTAGGGACAGCTGTCTCCCAGACACCTGTCTGGGGAGGGGAGGGGCCCTGTGGTGACCAAGAGGTGAGCCAGTGCCATGGTTACACCAAGGCAGTTGCAGGAGGCAGGTGTGCCAGTGCCTCCTGGGTAGAGGAAAGAGCAGCTACGTCCAATTTCTCGAACTGGGTCTGCCAGTCTGAATGCTGCTATAGGGTGGGGGCCAGTGGGGTACTGATGGAGAGCCTGCCCCGCGTGGTGTCTGTTCTCTAACCCTGGGACCCAAACCCAAGTCCTGGCATCAGAACTTAAGTGTGCTGTTCCTTCTGGCCAATTTCTACCATCCTCCTCTTCAAAGGGAGTGCAGGACCCCATCTGGAGGGGGTATCCCTGGGGCAGCACAGGGCAAGAGGAATAGAGTGTGTCAGAGTTGGAGCGGGGTGCCCTGGGTTGAGGAGACAGCCTGGGAGAGAAATCTGGCTCCCGGCCCAGGCTCTGTGCCCACTCTTCTCTGCAGGAGGAACCTTGGGATGGTGACCTTAGAGTCAGCCAGGCCAAGCTTCTTGGAAAGCTGGGCCCAGAGCTTAGTGTTTCTTTGGATGGCTCGAATCTTTGAAGAGGGAAACAAAGATGAGGCAGGACCAGGCCAGGGTAGGCCCCACTGCTCCCGGAAAGAGGCAACGGCAGAGGTGCTATTCTGGGCTGATGGTGAGCACACCAACTGCCTTACTGACATGATTCGGACAGACATGGGGACAGGCTGGGAGGAGGAGGAAGAGCAGGGAAACAGCAGGAACAGGAAGCGCTGGGGAGAAGGGGGCAGGAGGCGGGGAGGGGGAGGGTCTGGGCCAAGTGTCTGGAGTGTTGTGAATGGGCTCCAGCTGCTTGGGCTGTGCCCAGTGCTTGTGGGCTGGTCCTCAGGACAGTCAGTCCCATGGCTGGGCCCAGCTGGAGCCTGTGGGAGGGTGGGAGGCCTGGCTGCGGCCTCAGTACATGTCCTTGTAGATTTCCTGGAGCAGGGGGTGCAGCAAGGTTTCGCTCTCTGTCTTCTTTAGCCACTGCATCATCTGGGCATGCTCAGTGACCAGCTGCCTCAGGTCCGCCATCTTCTGCAGCAGCTTGGGGAAGAGGTACGGGCTGTCAGGGTGGTTGACTTGCAGGTGGACCTCCAGAGCCCGCAGAATGGTGTCCTGGATGGCCTCTACCTGTGGCACGTTCATGAGGCCTGGACGGTCTGTGGGGACACGGGGTCTGAGTGGAGTCTCAGGGCAGGGCAGGGCTGGGCAGGGCGGGGCAGAGGAACCTCCTAGCCCCCTCAGGGATCTCTCTGCCCAGATGGATCTGAGCTTTGCGCTCATGCCTGTGTACTCCGCTCCCTGCCCCCGGTCTCCACACATCTTCTGTTTCTGACCAATTGTTTTTCCTCATCTGGCAGAGCCCTGTGTTTCCTGGCTAAGACACATGGTGCCCAGATTCAGATCCTGGCTCTGTGGCTCTGGGCATCAGTGTCCTTAACCCAGAGTGCTGTGAGGAGCAAATAAGTTATAAACAAGGACGGCTTTGGCCTGACAGGAGCTCTGTGCCCCTGTGGGTGAGCAGGTTTACCTTTGTGTTATATTGGACTAGAAAAATGCAAAAGTAATACAGAAGCTTCTTCACCACCCATAAATAACAGCCTTTAACACAATGGTATATTTCTCCTTTCCACCCAGTACTGGGATTGAGCTCTGGGCCTCCCGCTAGTTAGCCAAGCACTCTACCACCAAGCTATATCCCTAGTAGGGCCAGCTTATCTCTTTATGCTTCTAGCCTCTATCTGTTTAACAAGCTGCACATGTGGCCTGTGCTAAACTGTCTGAGGCCAGGCTTGGTCCCTTGCAGTGAGAGCCACCCCCTCACCTCCACACAGAATGATGGCTGCGATGAAAAGCGCCAGGTCACTGTCGTCGAGTTCCAGTGCATTGAATTTGACGGCAAACTCAAACTTGGGCTCAATGATGTCACTGAAGGGCTTGCGGAGACTGCGCAAGAATTCATGGGTGACGAAGCCACTGCCATTGGCCACCAGCAGCCCGTCTTTGTTGACGATGGAGGCCAGCATGGCAAAGATGGCCTCGTGCACGCCGTACTTGAGGAGAGTCACCTGGTCGTTGAGGAAGAGGCTGCTGAAGTTGGGGATGCTCTTGGCGAACTCGGTGAGCTCGCGCACCGTCTCCACCGTGGTGCACTGGCAGCGATAGAAGACGTGCACACTGATCTCCTTGTAGGGGGGCAGCCCGTTCACCAGCTGCTTCCACACCAGGCCCTTCTCCGCCTGCCACAGTGTCTCGATGTCGTGGATGACAAAGGGCTGAAAACCAGCCTCATCAGAAGCCAGGCCTGGGAAAGGGGAGGGACCCCGCCCTTGTGTCCCCTGAACCCCACCTCAGAGCCCAGGCTGGCCAGTGGCACTCACTGCGTTGTGGCTGGACTTGCCGGTGAGGATACTACGGGCCTTCTTTTTGGTCATGTTGAAGTTTTTCAGGTAGGCGTGGTAGATGTGCTTGGAGAAGGCCTTTAGGTCGGCCAGCTGCGGGTTTTGCGGGCACCCCTCACTGGCCGTCAGCCCTGCCACTAACTTCCTCTTCTCGGCCTCTGGCATCCGTCCGAAGCGGATGGCTGTACAGGGGTTGAGGGCTAGTTAAGGAGGAGCTAAAGAGGCAGGGGCCAGCACCTCTCCTTCCCCTGCTCCTCTCAGGTGAAGAGGAGTCATCCTTTGGGGGCCCGGGGCCCTCAGAGGCCCCGCAGCCAGCAGGTGACCAGTGTTGAGGCAGCCCAGGGCCCCAACTCCCTGAGAACCTTTGCTGACTTGGCTGGGGGCTGGCAGGGCAGCTAGAAAGAGCCTTTGGTGACCAGGGTCGCATCTGAGCCCCAGTTCATCACCTCTCTACCATGTGACTTTGTTCTTTTGCCTTCTTTGTGGGTCAGGAAAAGTGAGATCCTTAAAACTCACTAGAATAACAAGGGGCATCACACAAGCAGTCAGAACCCAGAGCCACGGGGCTGTGGTGATAGCCCGGTTGGTAAAGTGCTTCTGTGGCAAGCCTGAGGTCTCGAGGCCACAGAGCTCACGTGAAAAAGAGCTGGGTGTGAGGGCCCAACAGAGGTGGAGCCCAGGTGCTCCCAGCCAATGAGAGACCAGCTCAGAACTAGAGGTGGATGGCATCTGAGTTGTCCTCTGGCCTCCACACACATGCATGTACACTGGCATGCACACGCGCACACACACACACAACTACAGTCCGAAAAATGAAGCAGGCCCTGGTTTGCCCTGAGGCTTCCTAGGGCTCCCTGTGGCCCCTGCAAAGGAACAGCACAGGTACACATGTGGACAAGCCCGAGACCCACCAGAACCCACACTTAGGAGGAGCCAGAGATGGCTTGAAGATGCCGCGCGTGCGTGCGTGCGTGCGTGCGTGCGTGTGTGCGTGTGTGTGTGTGTGTGTGTGTGTGTGTGTGTACGCATTCCAGTGGCTTGACCAGCACAGGTGTAAGCTGGAAGCATCCCTATTCTTTGGAAGCCTGAGGCAAGAATGGCTCAGTCTCCTGGAGTATCTGACCACAGGGAATTCCCACCTGGAACCTGGCTCCTGTGCACCCTTAACAATTACAGACCAAGGAAACTCTGGCCTTCGCTTTGCAGGTTCTGTCAGGCTGATGTGTGGGAGGCAGGTGAGCCACGGGCACAGAGGGCAACTGACCACCCAGGCCTCACGGTCCCTCAGACCTGGTGTCTACACCAGCAGACAGCAGCCATGTCCACACACTTGTCTGTGCCAGGCCAGGCGTTTGGGCACGCTCTGGCAATGCAGGGGCCCTGAGCTAGGTTGTGGAGCCACCCTCACCGTTGTGCGACATGCCAAGCGCCAGGCACTTCTGGAAGCGGCAGTACTGGCACTTGTTTCGGTTCTTCTTCTGGATCTTGCAGCTCCGATCACACTTCTCGTACTCAAGCTTCATGCGGATTGTCCGTCGGAAGAAGCCCTGTGAGACCAAGGGTGTAAGGAACCCGAGCTGCCGGGGAGGACCCAGTGGCAGTAAGGACACAAAAATGGCTGAATCTGGGAGTGGTGGGAATTTAATTAGTTTCTATTTATATGTATGGGTGTTCTGCCTGTTCTGTCTATGTACCACGTGTGTTTGGTACCTGTGGAGGCCGGAAAGGTGGCAGGTCAGATCTCCCGAGATTGGAGTCACAGATACCTACCACGTGGGTGCGGGGAACCAGCCAGTGCTCTAACCACTAGGATAGCTCTCCAGCCCCGGTTTTTGTTTGTTTGTTTGTTGTTGTTTTTTTTTGGAAAAAAGGAAGGAAAGGTATGCCTAAAAAATTGTTTTTTAAGGGCTGGGTGTAGTGGCATACAACTTTAATCCCAGCACTCAGGAGGCAGAGGCAGGTGGATCTCTGTGAGTTTGAGGTCAGCCTGCTCTACAGAGTGAGTTCCAGGACAGCCAAGGCTATACAGAGAAACCTTATCTCTGAAAAAGAAAAAGACACAGGCACTGGAAACCAACTTCAAATACACAAATAGACACTCAGCCCAAGGTCACTCTGTCATGCCTGCCTCTGGAGCCCAATCTCCAAGGAATGCTGGCCACCCACAGAGACCGAGTGAGTAACTGGGTCAGCGGGCAGGTAGGTGTCTGTTTGGACAACTGTCATCTTTTCTCTTAGATGGCCCAGAGCTCAGGCCTGTAAGGAACCAAAAAGTTTTGCTAGGGGAATTTTCAGAGCCCCACCCCAGGCCGGCAAAATGCCGTGCGCCTCAGTCCGTACCTTGCACCCCTCGCACGCATGGACTCCGTAGTGGAAGCCTGAGGCCTTGTCTCCGCACACACGACACTCCATGTTGAGGCTGCCACCTGAGGCCCCATCACAGCCTATCTGCAGCTGGTCCAGCAGGGAGGAAGGACAGGAATTCTGGGAGAGGTCTGTGGATACAGGATGGGGGGGGGCAGTAGAACAGTCAGCTACCAGGTCTAAGAGGCAGGAGGAGGAGGAGCTGCAGCCCAGAGCTCAGCCCCGCAAGGGCTGTGTGACCTGGGAGCAGCTTTGAGAGGCCCCTGTCTTCACTTGAAGCACAGGGTTCAGGGTGGCTTTGCTGGGAAGATGGGTCAAGTCTTCCTGTGAGTGTGACCCATGTCGCTACAGCCTCCCAGCCTGGGAGAGAAGTGGGCTTGGCGGGGCTTTGGGGTCAGCAAGCAGCGATCTATGGTGCCTGCTGGGTAGAACGTGTCTGTTGGAAACTGTGGGGGTACAGACCTCTGCCCCGCTGGTCTCTTGGACTCCAGGGGCGCCATCAGGGATTTCTCTGAAAATGACTCCCTAAGCCCCGTGGGAGTGACAGTACAGGTGCGATGCTGACTGGCCCCGCCATTAAACGCAGAGGTTTGAGCTGAGGGTTTAAAGCTGGCAAGGAGAGTGGGAGGCCGTGACTGCGACTTCGGGATGAACATGCTGTCATGTGACTGGCAGCAGCCAGTCTCTTCTGCATCTGCTTCGAGACGCAGGGGTGAGAGAATAGGCTCTGCCTTGGGCCTTGGTCACCTCTCCCTCTCCCCCCAACACCTGCTTTATGGTCTGGGCTCTCTCCTGGGACTACAGACTGTCTTTGGAGACAGATGCCAAACCCCAAGACACTCAAGAAAGAGAAAGGCCCAAGCCACACGACCAACCCATACTAGCTCTCCCCAGCCTTCAACCTGCCTCTCACAACTCTACTCTGGTCACAGGAGGGGAACTCAGGCAGCAGAGACACGATGGGGGCGGGGCTGGTGAGGTTGGGGTGGTGGTGACATAAGATCATATGTGGCCCAGTACCCTAATTCTCAATGACTGTTATTCCAAAGGTCTAAATGGCCCCCAGGTGAGGAGAGTGGAACCCTCATCTTCTCTGGCAGGCTTTGGGCTTCTTAGAAGCTTGTCACCATCTGATTGGGGGGTGGTCCTGTGTATCCATGTGTGGGCCCCACCCACCAGGTGTGAGGGCTGGGAGAACAGTGCACACCAAAGCCCAAAGCCCAGAAGCTTTGGTACCAAAATACTGTAAGTAGCCGAGATACCCAGGTCCTACTAGCTACCTGCGGTACCCAGGGTGAGTGAGGGTCCAGGGGAATTGCTGCCTGAGAGAAGGCCCAGCTCAGCAGGTGGTGAATGGTGGGATGCCTTGGCCTGGGTGAGGACCTATTTAGTAGAAGCACAGGCTGTAACGGATACACAAGGCTAGAGAAGCAGGACCCATGGGGACGGTGTCATGTGAATGAATGTATATTGGGCAAACGGAAATGGTGTGTGGGTGGCTTTTCCAAAAACAACAGCTCCACTTGTCCTGGCTGACCACTTGACATCTCACCCAAAAGGCTGACACTTGACCTCCTGGTCAGAGGTGCAACAGATCCGTGATGACTGGAGCAGTGGTTCTCAGATCTTCTTCATAAGGAATGCAGTCCCGAGCCTCTCAGGCCCAGGCTACAAAAGGCGGGGGCTTGCTGTGTGGGCACTGACTACCTGCTGGAATTTTGTCTTCCTTTCCAAACCCTCTCTTTTTGGTGTTTTGAGACAGGGTTTCTCTGTGTAGCCCTGGCTGTCCTGGAACTTGCTCTGGAGACGGAGACGAGGCTGGCCTCGAACTCACAGAGACCCCCCTGCCTCTGCCTCCCCACTGCTGGGATTAAAGGCCTGTGCTACTACCCCTTAGCTACACCGTGAAGGAGGCATTGGGCCCAGAGGCTTGCCCCCACCCACCCCCACCCCCCTGTGCCCCAGACACTCCCAAGAGTCTACTCCTCCCAGGAGGGACAGGTAAGCAGCCAGCGTTGCCAGGCGCCCCTCAGCAGCCAAGGGTCTTTTGGACTGTTTCTGTGTTTGAGATTGTTCTGAGACTGGGTCTAACTAATTAGTCCACACCAGTCTTGAACTCATGGTGCTGTTCCTGTTATCATGCCTGGCTGCTTCCTTTCTTTGTTGCTGAGGTAGACAATGGATGGCACCCGCAGATGAGGATAGAAAAGCCCGTGGAGGTGAAAGGTCACCCACCTGCCCTGTGCAGCTAGGGCTGGGACCCGCCTGCAGAGTGTGGCTTGTACACTTCCTATGCTCCAGGACGCTACTAGACACCTTCTAACCCTTCATTTCATATAAAACCGCAAAATAAACTTCAAGTCGGGCTTTGGGCCCCTGTATTACAGGTGAGAAAACTGAGGCTGACACTGTTAGGGACAGCTGCTGGGACGGCGGTTCATGCAGATCTGGCTAAGCCGTGACAGCCAGGCTTCTGTTCAAAGACCAGTCTAGATTTGAATCCCAGCACTCTGGAGGCAGAGGCAGGTGGGTCCTTGTGAGTTTGAAGCCAATCAGGACCACATAGAGAGACTCTGTCTCAAAAGGGAAAGAAAGCTAAAGATGTACTGACATTTAAATCAGGAGCTTTGAGCAAAGCTTCACTCTTCAGAATGCATGTGGCCCTCATCCTACAGGCGAAGGCTTTAAGAGAATGACTAGGAGAGGACACATCTCCACTTTCTCCATGCTTGAGCTGCTTCCCGGTGACACAGCCTGGCCTGCAGAATCAGGACTGGGGACCTAGGACTGCGTGAGGCAACTCTTGAGGGGGGAAGAGGGAGAGAGGCGGGGTGGGGGGGGAGGGAGAGACAGAGAGAGAGAGAGAGAGAGAGAGAGGGAGAGAGGGAGAGAGGGAGAAAGGGAGAAAGACAGGGGAGGATGGAGAGGGAGGGAGAGGGGGGAGAGGAGAGAGAGAGGAGGAAAGAGAGGGAGAGAGAAGACCTTTCCTGGTTCTGTCTATCGGACGCCCTGACTAAGGTGGTGGCAACCTGAGGATCAGAGTGGAACCATGCACCTGCTGCAGCAGCGCATGCATTCTCCTGCAACCGTGGGCACCTCCTCCTGTCAAAGAGTAGCGTTATTATGAGGTCATTCCCCAGACCCCGGAACTCAGTGTAAGCCCTGGCCCTGGCCCCCACGCGAGTGCCAGCTTAGCCATCGCTGAGGACAAGCTCAGCAAGCACACACTATCGACTTATCCCGTGTTCTTATTTGGTTGAAGGCTCTCCTGCACATCTTGCCTTGGGGGCTGGTGGCATGCTGCTGTCAGAGCCATGAGGTGGCACATGGGTCAGCTTGACTACTTACTGTTGTTGTTTTTGAGACAGGGTTTCTCTGTGTAGCCCTGACTGTCCTGGAATTTGCTCTGTAGACCAGGCTGGCCTCGAACTCAGGGGTCTGTTTGCCTATCTCTTGTGGGATTAAAGGTGTGTGCCACCGCACCCAGCTACCTGGGCACTTTCTTGATTGCTGTCTCATTTGCCTGGACTTTGGGCACCTCTGGGCTGGTGTTCAGCCCTGTCTACCACTGCCCGGCCCACTCTGGCCAGATGCCTGGCCCTGAGCACTCGCCAAGTAGCCAAGGAAAGGAAGCACATGTCAGAGGACAGCTGCTCCTCTCGTGCATGGGCTGCCATGAAGCGGGAGGGGCCGGGGCAGGAGAGGTGGGGCCAGTTCCCCAGCCAGGAGGGCCCTGGACATGTACTTCCTTGTTGTTGTGTGCCAGTGTGAGGCCTGTACTGCCCGCCTCGTGGGGATAGGATGGTCACAGGTGCTGGTTCAGAGCAGGGGACCTGAGTGTGAGCCTGCAGTGACCACCTGGGTCCCTGCTCTGCTGCAGGTGGTCTCTATGCCTTCCCGACGGGATCTCACTATGCAGACCAGGCTGGCTTTGGCTCACAGAGCTCTGTCTGCTTCTGTCTCCTATGTGCTAGAATTAAAGGCGTGCTCCACCATGCCTGGTAAATGTATCTATTTTAACTTTGGAATGGGAACGGAACAAGAGCTTTTTAAGTTATGAAAGTAACACATGGTTGCTAAGACACACAGGGCAGGCTGGGTGTTAAAATGGACACTCCTCACCCCATTCAGGATTGTGAATCAACTCCTTTAGCCCTTTGGTTTTCATTATCTAGCATCTTCTATTATAATAAGGTTTTCAGGCTTTGTGTTGAAACAGGCTGGCCTGGAACTTGTGATTGATTCTCCTGCTCCAGCTCCTAAGTGCTGGGATGACAGGTGTGAGCCAACATGCCTGGCTTTACCTCACTCTTAAAAACATTTTTCTGTTTTTTTGGGGGGTGCTGGGCAGTGGTGGCGCACACCTTTAATCCCAGCACCCTGAAGGTAGAGGCAGGCGGATCTCTGTGAGTTTGAGGCTAACCTGGTCTACAGAGTGAGTTCCAGGACAGCCAGGGCTGCATAGAGAATCCTGTTTTGAAAAACAAAAACAAAACGAAAATTCAGCGTTGTGTGGCTACATTGTGATGTGCACCTTTAGTCCCAGCTCTCCAGAGGTAGAGGCAGGCATATCTCTCTGAGTTCAAGGCTAGCCTGGTCTACATACTGAGTTCCAGGACAGCCAGAGCTAATGTAGAAGACCTGGTCTCAAAAAGACAAACAAAGAACTCAAAACGAAACCCTCTTTATTACTTATTACTAGTGTGTGTGATCTGTGTGGAGGGGACAGCTGTGCAGCTGGCTCTTTCCTTCCACAGGGATTGAGCCCAGGCCTTTGGTCTTGTGCAGCAAGAGCCTTCACCCACTGAGTTGGTTCTCTCCTTCCCCCACGTGGGTTCCGGGGAATTGAACTCGGGCCGGCAGGCTTGGGAGCAAGCACTTTTATCCACTCACTGAACATGTCACTGGCGCCTACTTCATCCTTTGTTTGTTTGTTTTGTTTTTGTTTTTCGAGACAGGGTTTCTCTGTGTAGCCCTGGCTGTCCTAGAACTCACTCTGGAGACCAGGCTGGCCTTGACCTCAGAGATCCCCCTGCCACTGCCTCCCGAGTGCTGGGATTAAAGGTGTGCGCCACCACTGCCCTGCTTGCTTCATCCCTTTTGAGGACTGCAGTGATCCCCAGAGGCTCTGGCAGGCCTTACCTAAGGGATTTCCCACAGTGGGTGACAGCCCATTTCTGTCCTATGAGCTGTGCTGTGGTAAATAGACAGCTGTGCTCATGGAGCAAGCAGGCACACGGGACACATTCCCAGAGCAGAACCACAGGGCTAAAGGGACATAACCCTGCACCATTCTGTCACCACTGCTAACTGGGGGGCTGGCTCCTCCTCAGGCCAACAGTCCCATCCATTAAGCTGACAGACGACGACACTTTGTTACTGCCTGGTTACACTGACATCTGTTTCGCTTGCTCTGGCTTCTCTGCTAGGGCTCATCTCTTAGGCCAGTGGTTTAGACAGCTGTCACCAGTTCAGTTGCCCAGCCGCCTCTACTACATCCATTTATCAAAAGCCAGGACCAGACACGGTGCCTGGTGAGCCCCACAGTCAGCATTGCTCCGATGTTCCCGCCACACCTGTCCCTGACCCTGCTCCATCCACTGCACTTTGGCCGGCACGTGAACATTATAACCCTGGTCATGGCTCGTGGTGGGAAATCCCAGGATGGGACACTTCCTGCCAAGACCCAGATACCGAGGCAAGTCGCCAGGGCAGGCATCCAGGCCAGACCTCATGCCCCTCTCCTCCCTGTTCAAAACTTGTCCTCAGCACCTTCCTGACACCTGGCACAGTGTCCCCAGTGTGTGTCCTTCCCGCTGACACTTTCTTTTCTAGCAATATACTCCCTGCTCCCTCCCCCATCTCTTGAGTCTCTCTCTATGTAGCTCTGGTTGGCCTGGAGTTCACTATGTAGACCAAGCTGGCCTTGAACTCACAAAGATCCTCCTATCTCGTCCTGAGTGCTGGGATTATTAGCAACACCACCTCTGGCCCCCTGTGGTCCTTTCCTTAGTTAAAAGCAGCCTGAGACAGCGCTGAATAAATCCTGACTCCTGGAATCCATTCCTTTCTCCTGAGAATGCTTGGGTCTCGAGGGCCATCACAGCCATTCCCTCTAACACACAAGAACACAGGCTACTCTGGGTCCCCACATCACACCACAGCCAGTGAGGGTCACTCTGAGTATGTGGATAGACACACAGGACTACAGTGCCTTTCACACCGCCACTCTGAGCTCTAAAGGTGAGAAGCCTTGCTTTGCATGTTTCAGGGACATGGCTCAAGGGTTTGATCCCTTCTTGGTTGCAAGCAGGCAAGGGCCGGTTCTACCCCACAGCATTCATGTGTTACACCGGGCACCACTGTCACTTGGTGTCTGGCACCGACACCGGGGGCCAGAGCCCACTCCCCCTCCCCCCCCCCGGAGTGGCTTGTCAGCTGACACCAGCAGCAAGCCATGTCTTACAGAGCCCATCCCTCCCGACTAAGAGGCTCTCTGTCTGGAATCACCAGGATGCACTGGCCCAAGGCACTCAGAGGAGAGACTGTGGCGTGACAGTGGAGGGGCCTGAGCAAGCAGGGAAAGCCAGGGCCCAGGGGCACAGTGTGTAGGCTGGACACAGTGTCATGAGGATGAGATAGATGTCACAGCTGTGCTGGCCACCAGAGAAGAATGTCACCAGACAGAGGGTCAATGAAATGACCCAGCAAGTGGAAAGAGCCAGCTGAAACCTGATATTCAAAAGTGACCCAAGCCACAGTCACTCGTTCAAACTGCTTGGCGTTTGTGGTCAGTCCTGGAGAGGCACAGACTTAGTACCAGGTCTCCTGGGTTAAGTGGTCTGCGACAGCCGCAGGCACACCTCACATTCCAGGTGCAGCCGGTGGTAGAGTGCCTGCCTAGCGCACACAAAGCTCTGGGGAGGGGTGTGTGGGGCAGAGACACTCCATGGGCAGCATGATGAAGGCATGTCCTCCACACACTCACTCTCCCACCTCCTGTCTGTTTCCAGAAGGGCTGTGACTTCCCAGGGCCCCCTGGCTCACCAGCTGGTGATTGACAAGGCAGGACTCTGCCATTAGTCAGTGTCACTCCACTTGTCAGGACCCCATTGCCGGTTGTTCACAGAAACCTGGACCTCTGTGCGCCCCTCAGCCTCCTCCCCCACACCTGTGCAGCTGCTGGAAGGAAGCACGTGCTCTGGTCCCCCGTTGAGCTCTGGGGCTCCTTCCGTCGTGCCCACTTCCTCCTTCTCCTCTTCCCGGGCCTCAGGGGCCTCCTCCTGGGGCTGCTCCATGACTGTCCCCCACTCGGCGTGGCGCCTGCAGGCCTGGTCATAGCTCTGGCACCATCTGGGTCTGAGCGCTGATGGACCACCTAGGCAGAGGAGACAGAAGGGCTTAGGGGAGAGGGTGGTGATCTCAGGGGAGAGGGCGGGGGGCTCAGGCCCTGATGAGCCTTCTGATTGTCTTGAGACAGGGCTGTGTGCAGCCCAGGATGGACTGAATTGGCTATGCAGCCAAAGACGACCTTTAACCCCTGACCCTCTGCACCTCAAGTGCTGGGATACAGGTGTGAGCCACGGCCTCCAGAGGTCTACACTTCTCACACTCCAAGTCCCCATCTGGCTCTCAGGGCAGGATGGCAGGGTAGGGTCGTTTTCATTAACCAGATATGGTGACACTCTGCTGTGCTATCTTCACACCCTTCCCTGCTCCAGGAGCCTCCCTAAATTGCCTGAGCAGCTGCAGAATGATCCCAGCTCTCCAGTGCCTCCTGGAGGTCCCGATACACATTGCAGCACCCCCCCCCCCCCCCCCCCCCCCCTCTGGCTAAGAATGCAGCCGTCCAGAGCCACTGTTCCGAGGGGTGTCCTGTCCTACCTGAGCCACTGTGTATGTGTGTATGCATCATTAATTTAGTTTGTCTTGAGAAAAAGGTCTCTTTATGTAGCCCTGGCCGTCCTGGAATAGTCCCTTTGTAGACTAGGCTGGTTTAGAATTTAAAAAGATCTGCCTGCCTCTGCCCCCTAAGCATGGGATTAAAGGCATGTGCCACCTCCAAGGTGGGGCTCTATTTTTAATCCCCTGTAGCTGTGACATGCAATCGAGTTTGCTTGACGAGTAGTGTTGCCCAGCAAAGCGCCTCCAGGCCTTGTGTTGTTCCTGCCTCACACTGAGCTCCATCTAGTCATCCAGGGGCCTTCCCCTACCTGGATGACACAGTAGCCTCTCAGAGGCTGTATTCTGGGAGACCGGATATGTGGCCCAGAAGGAAGTCTAGATGGTAGAGAGCTGGAAGTTGGGAGTCTGTGGATCTGGAAGATTCCCAGTAAGGGACAGTGACAGGAAGGGTGTGAGCATCTCATCACAGCAGGCACAATTGCACACACATGCTCTCTCTCTCTCTCTCTCTCTCTCTCTCTCTCTCTC